AACATAGATAGTGGACGACCAACTTCATATACTATACCATATATCGTATATAAACGGCCATTTGGCCACACAAACCCCAAATATCAAATTCCAAACACAAAAGGTCTGGTTTCATGACTCATTTATACGAATCGTTGATATGTACTGTTTAAACTAAACAGCTCAATACATAATAATGGTACATAACGGTTTTCATATCTGCTGTCCCTTCGGGCCTCTGACAGCATCTCTGCCACATCCACCTGCGCAGTGCAGCAGATCATCGAAAACATTCTCAAACCTGCCATTCACCGAGTGATGTTGCAAACACAACTCTGCATGTTATCACGGTTGTCGTTGCTACCGCCATCGCCCCTGCAGAACCAAGCGGACATTAAACGATGGTGCTCGCTTTTGCTGCTAGCACAGCTTTCCCGACGTATCGCTGATACTTTGACTTCTTGTGCTTTCCTGATACGGTCGCAGTAGACGTCGTGGTAGTGATGGTGACGGCGGTGGCATCTGTCCTTTTCCTGGTACTGCCAGCACAACCCTAAACCCTAAACCCTAAGCTTTACCGTAGTGCGAGTACAAGACGTCGCTGTCCGAGTGGCAGGCCCTGTACCAGTAGTGTCACCAGGAGCAGCAACGGCAGTAGGATTGAAAGAAGTAGCGGTAGTAGTAGTAGTAGTAGTAGTAGTAGTAGTAGTAGTAGTAGTAGTAGTAGTAGTAGTAGTAGTAGTAGTAGTAGTAGTCATCATAGAAAACATAAGCAGTGTGACAATAGAATTCCGAAGCCGACACCGGCCTCGGATTGCTTGTTCCCGGTCCTCTTGATCATCGCCAGCTCGTCACTAGCCTGGGACAGCTTCCCGAGGGGCCACGCAGTCAAATCGCCTGGCAACCCCCAAAATACTACGCCGCACTGTAACCCGACGCAATTCGACGAATAAACCCAGAGCCCTTCAGTTTACGGTAGTCTCCAGTATGGTATCCTCGTTGAAACCCGCATGCTAGAGCAACCCCAAAAAGCACCGCTAATCACTGTAAGCAAGGCCCTAGAAACTGTCGCTGCCAAGGAAGAGCTTGGCGCTAGGCACCGGTATAAGTATCAGGGCAGGGCCTGTGAGGGTATTATTGCACCGGACAGCCTTCGAAACGCTTAGGGCGTGGGGGATTGCCAGCTGAGCTGCGGCCATCATGGCGTCGAAACTTCGCTCCATCGCCATGCTGGCCTCCACGACCTTTGGGGCAAGCAGATTCGCTATTGCTACTGTTATGTTCATCATGGTTATTATGTTTGCGACTGTTTTGCAATTTTGTTACTACTATCTCTGCTTTTCTATTAATTTCTTTTAGTTTGTATTTACCTCTTTTGGGGTGTCGGGGTGAAGGACCAAAAAAATTCGAACTTTTTGTTTAGCTTTTAGTGTTCTAGCGGCTCCTGGCACTCGTGGTCGTCCTTACCTTACCAGAGCTGCATTTACCGCAGCTGCACTTTCGCCGAACCCTCGCAGCCGAACATACACAGCACCGGTAGGTACTGAAATGGTCGCCCCGATCAGCGCATCGAGTCGTTTGGTTTCTAGCTTGCGCTGCATTGGACTCAGGCAGGCGCAACCTTCAGCGCAGACACCTGGCACAAGAATAGTAATTCTACTAACACTAGTAGCAATAACACTATTCACAAAAATAATAGAAACAATAGCTAGTACAGGAATAATGGCTAGCAATAGTCGTAGGGTGTGGGGAAGTCAGCCTTCGTTCCCACTTCTCTCGGACTCGTCGACCCCCATACCCGGCTGAAACCTGAAGCCCCAAATCCAAAGCAGCTGCCACTTGGAGCAGCAAACCCCATTCTGAAGACGCTGGCAGTCTGCTTTCGACAAAGAAATACTCATGTCCTGACAAGGCCTCCCCTCGCATGGTTCGAACAAAAGTGGGATATGAAGCCCCAAACTGCCAAAAAAAACGCTGGGGCCCTAAGCCATGAACAGTGACCCCTACACCCTGAAACATCGCTTCTCCGGCCGAAAAAAAGCTCCGAAAGCTGCGCCTTCTTCGCCGACTCTCCCGCACGGCGGAAGGAGACCAGAGCATCCTGCAAAGATGGTCAAAGGGTTCCGTGAATTCTAGTCTCTCTCGAAGAAACAAGAATCAGAAGAAGAAGAGGAAGAATGGAAGGGCATTACCAATAGATAATGGATCAACACTCACCGTCGCAGTCGTCGTAGTATATAGCGGCCATGATGATCATGACAGTGAGGGTGGGGGAAGATTCCGAGCTCCCGGGGAGCTATGAGTACCATTGCCATTCTTATTATGACTGGTATTACTACTATTACCATTGCCCGTCTTAGTTGTTAACAGTATTTTGCTTTTGCTGCTACTCCTGTTACTATTATTCAAGTTTTGCTATTGCTATTATTAAACCCTAAACTCAAACCCCTAAACCCTGACCCCTAAACCCCTAAACCCTAAACCCTTAAACCCCAAGTTTCCGAAAATTGTGGCCCCTAACATGGCACGCTAACTTGTAGGATCCTTAGGATAAGGACCCCGCCGAAAAAAATCCTAAAACCTTAACCCTAAACCGAGGTGCCCCCAATTTCCGGAAACTCCCAAACCGTCGGGGAATGCTCCACGCCCGGGCCGGGGGCCCCTCCCCGGAGGAGCCTTCGCCAGCGCCAAAGCCTCGGAGGCCTCTCGGAAAAAAACATCCCGGGATTCTAGGGAGGTAGGGTTTTCTTAGGGCTTTTAAAGGGGGGATTAAAGGGGTCTGAAGGGTTTTGTAGGAGGTTTTTAGGGCTTTGGGGTTTAGGGTTTAGGGCTATTTAGGGAGTGCACCTTCTTAGTCCCCAACCCTGGGCTCCAAAGCACTGAAACCCGACACTGACCTCATTTTCGGTTACGACTCCCACACGGGCTGGTTTAAGTGAGAGTTTAGCAGCTTAGGGCCTTTCACTCACTGAACTTCCAGAACAGAACCTTCGTCGGCAGGCCTTGCTCTTGTAGAGCATGCGCTGCTGATAGCTCACCCTCGATGGCCAAGGAGATTCAAGGAGGTTGCTGAAGTCTCGACTTCTACCGTTGATGATACAAATCCTGCATTACCCAATAAGAGGGAATATACCATAATTCCCATAGTTTAGAGTCCTTAAGGTAATGCAGGATTTATATCATCAACCGTCTGTTGAGGTTAGGCCAAGCAGAAGTGAAACGTAGGCCCCGAACATCTGCGCTTTCGGCGCATCGTAGCCGATGAGGAAATCGGACCTGGGGCATGATTGGAGGGCGCGCCTTTTTCTTGACACAGTTTGAGGTGCGGTCAGCAAGCCGAAATGTACATGCCTAAACCACTCAATGTCAATCCCAAATCCCCGAGCCCCGAACCCTAAACCCCACAAAACCCCTAAACTAACTCGTATTCGCCCCAAACCCGAAAAGACCCAAAGCTCACGCTTTGGTGTAAGGTCTCCCCCGAAGTTTCTAAACGGCTTAGGACTCTGAGACTTGATTCGAGCCTAGACTTCAACAGCCTCGGGGTCTTCAGGGTCATGCTTCAGGGGCTCAAGGAAACAGGCTCCTACGGTTGATGATAGAAATCCTGCATTACCTTAATGGCTCTAGACTATGGGAATTATGGTATATTCCTTATTATGGGTAATGCAGGATTTATGTCATCAACCGAAGTACCGAAGGCTAAGGTCTAGAGTTTCAGGGCGCCGATTTCTTTGTTGAGGACTTCGCGTTTTAGGGTGAGGCTTTAGGATTTAGCGTTGAAAATTCAGGCTTCCTTTGTTCGCCAACCCTAAACACTAAACCCCTCGGTTGCGGACGTTGTCGGAGTCTCGGGGAACATCGCCTGCACGTCACGAGCATGTCCAGGGACTTGGGCCAGGTTCAGGTAGAAGTTTTTGTTTGAACGCCTTTTTCCGTCCGCTAGCTGGGGTTTGGGTTTTAGGGTTAAGGGTTTGTGGCTTAGGGTCGGTTAGGGTTTAGGGATTTAGGGTCGGTTAGGGCGTAGAGGTTTGGGTTTCAAGTGTATGGCACTGGGAACTGGTGAACTGAAGCTAGCCCTCCGCAAACCCTGCACACTGAAACCTTCTGAAAAAAACGGTATGAACACCTACCCTGTTTGAAACACATCTTAAACCCTTGCAGCACCTGTAAAAACCCTACCAAACGAAGTGCCTTGGCGTCCGCCATGATGGACTCGGCAGACATGAGCGCGGCATCCGCCATGTTTGGCCTCACAGAACCGGGTTGCTTTGGAGGTTCCTGATGAGCTTTTGAGCCTTGGTCTTTTCGGGCTCTCAGGAACAATTGGAACAAAACCTTTTGGGGCTAGATGATTGACTTGGGGTGGGGACCGGGTTGGGATGTCATTCTGGACTCTGCATTGCTATATCCTACGAGCAAAGACCAACTTTGCTTCCATGCCGGTTTCTGCAAACCCAATCGAACCCAAGCCAAGAAGTGCAACAGAGTACAGCACTTGCGGGTTTTGAGAGTCCAAAATTGCTGACGTTTCCAATGCCGCAGAACCCGTTTGCAAGAACCCCGAGATACCCCAAAGCCGGTGCCTCACGCCCGCACCGAGGGCGGGAGGGGCGGCGCAAAATCCTTTGACTGCCGCGGCGGCTGCAGCACATAGCTTACCGGAAGCTGCCTTATAGGGTGAGAGCGGTTGATGATATAAATCCTGCATTACCCATAATAAGGAATATACCATAATTCCCATAGTTAGGGTCCTTAAGGTAATGCAGGATTTATATCATCAACAGGAGATGCTGTGGCACTGCAACAGCAACGCTTTAGGAACTTGGCATTCCGTTTGGCAGCGTCGCATTGACAAGGCGCACCATCTTGGCGCGCATGACTCTTCATGCCCAGCACGTGAAGCAAGTCGGCAGAAACAGTTCTTCCATTCCTTGCCGGAATCCTCGTCACTTTGCGAGCTCAAACCGCGCAACAAGCATTTCTGAAACCGCTGGCAAAGCAGTGTCAATCGAATTGGCTCATCGAGAGGCACGCTGTCGGGCCTGAGCTCGCGATTTGTAGGAGTGTACAGTGTACAGTGTTTCTGGCGATGGGCCTTCGACATGCCAAGTTAATGCGAGTCTCGTGTGGCTGCAGCTTCTGGGTTTTGGGCCAGCTGGGCCTTCAGTTCCACCAGTTTTTCGGTGCTGAAGCGCTTCAGGACCTGAGCGGGGTCGGGGTGGCAGGCAGAACTGAGGTCAAGAGCCATCGCACTAGCGTTACGGGCCTGATTACCAAGTTCCGGGCCAACTGGGCTTTCAGCTCGATGAGGTTTTTTGTCGAATAGCGCTCCAGGATCTGCAAGCGAGCAGCAGTGCTGATTTCAAAGAAACAGACGAGCCGCAACGGCCCAATAACCCAACACGACGCAAATGATCTCTCAACTTCTGAGTTTCGGGCCATCTTCGCTTTCTGCTCGACCTCCTGCATCGGGCAAGGAGCACGGCTCAAGGATTTGCGGGCACGTGAAAGCAGGATTCCGGTGTATGCTTTTCGGGTGTATAGAGTAACATATACTTCATTCAATGATGCACCCCCATATACTCGAATGTACTCTGATATACTCGAACAGACTCCAACTAACTATAACACAATGTGATAAAGCATGGTTAACCAGCTCATCGGATGAACATGACACAATAAGGTATAATGGTATGTGGTAGATAAAGTATGATACAGTATAACATGATACACAATACGATTTCTATGCGATACAATACAATACATAAGCACATACTATAAGACGATATGGTACAGTATCACATTCCATGATCAAGTACATGGTACAATAGAACAGCGTAGATTCTGAATATGGTACAATATGATACAACCTTGTATCATAGAACCAAAAACAGCGCGATGTATTGCAATGCAGCATACTGTGATACAATACGGTATGGCCTTATATGATCTGGTATTATGCAAGACCATAGAACATACTGGTAAAGTAAAGAAACACAAGATGCCTTAGTACGTGTATAGGTGTGTACCTGACATATATAATCTAATGCTGTATGACATAACATGATAGTCTATTAAAGACAAGGAACGGGGTCGAAATCAAAAGGCCGCAAGTATGAGTATGTTGAAGATCTACTGTCACAAAATGTGCTGTGGTGTAACGTGTTAATACATGGCACGATCAAATATGGCATAGCAGAACACAAGATAATATAAATTGGCATATGATACAACACTGCAAAAGACCGTGCTATGCAACATAAGATGACACAACAGGGTAGGATATAACATGACACAATATAAACAGACACGGTAGTTCAAAAACTGCTCGAATCTATATACTGAAAACAAATTAAAGAACATGTTACACCGCATAATGTAACTTGGTGCCACGAAACACAAAATGATTGAATATATACAGAGGAAACGGACAGTAAAGCATGCTACTGCATGCGATGATATCATAGTAAATGGTGTTATACCATAAGATAGTAGTGATTGCAGTAACGGCAGTCATATTCATCATAACAATTGCCAGAATAATACTAACAAGAAACACTATAGCAATAAAGATATGTATAATGCAATTTCACAAAAGTTTTTCGCCAAACATGTGATAATATACAAACATATATAGACATCGCAGATCTATGCATATGTTTACATACATACATACATACATAAAGATATGCTACGTGTATATATAACACTGTAACATACCAACTCATGACGTGACGCAGTGCACTTGAATATCACATGGTAAAATTGGATATGATAGGTTATGATACTACACAGCATTGTGTGATACTAGTTGATATTCTATGGTATTGCCACGTGATATCTTGGAACCAGGCTGTTTTAAATTATCTAGTATTACATGATGTATGATACCATATTCATATAACATAGTACCATATGCGATTACATAGCATAATGCAACGTGGTAAAATTGAGTAAAGTACAGTAGAACACAATAAGCTACAACACAGTATGATTCAAAGTTATGTAATATTTTGTATATTATTGCATTACATACACGACAATACACTACAATCTGGGACCATGATCACGGAGTGCGCCATTCTCTTGACAGAGGATTTTTGAACGGGTTTGGGGTTTGGTTTTTTGCCTAAACCCTGAACTCCTAAACCACTCAATCCTAATTCCCCCCTAGAAACCTGAAACCATGAACGCCCAAACCCCAAGTGCCACCTCACATTTGGCTTTTGAAACCATTCCCATGGAACCGCAGTAGAAGAGAGTGGTTATCTGTCGGGTCCCAGTCTTTGCACACACAGAGCTTGCGTTCAGTGCCTAACTAACACGACTTTCACGATTGCGCAGAAGAGCCTGTCAAGAAAGTGAAGACCCATGTCCAAAAGACCCTTCAAGACAAGCCTTTGTTTGAAGACCAGGGCATCCCTGTTCTGTAAAGACTTCTTCAAGCGTTCCCCTAAAGGCTCTCTACGGCTTAAGACGTTTAGCATCTAGAAGTGTCAACAGCGCTCGTAGGGCTTAAGGAGTTTAGGGTTTAGGCTTTGAGTTTGAGAGTTTCTGGGCTTTAGGGTTAGGATTTAGGGCTTCATGGCTTGAATTGTGCAGGGCTTAGGATCTAGGATTAAGGTCTAGAGTTTCAGAGCTTCAGAGTTTGTTAGGACTCAGAGTTGCGGCTGCAGGGCTTTATGGTTCGGGGGTCTAGGGAGCCCAGCTCCCACACTGGCGTGCGAGTGCTGTCGAAGTCTCGAGGAAGCGCGTCCAGGGACGTGGGACTTAGGCGTCCGGATTCAGGTTTGAGTCTCTGGGTGCAGGGTCTCAGCCTCAGGGTGTAGGGATTCAGGTTCAGAGCTGGGGGACTGGAGAACTGAAACTGGCCCAGGCTGCGTCTGTGGGGTGGAGACTTTTTTTGGGCCCTTTTATTTTATTTTTTTGTGTGGCTTTTTTTTTTTTTTTTTGCTTTCCTTGGGCTCTAAGGAAAACCATCTTTTTCTGTTTTTCCTTGGGAAAACAGATTTTCCTTGCCTATCTATCTAATATATATATATAATATATGCATATATATATAGTAATATATATAGTATATATAGTATATATAGATATATATACATTTATATTATATACAATATAACTAGATATATATGATAACTTATATAGTATATATACTACTATATATAGTATAGATATATCTATAGATATATATATTACTATATTAGATATATATTACTATATAGTATTATTATAGTACTATGAAAGAATATCAGTAATATAGTATAAATAGTATATAAATAGTTATAATATAGATAAATATTAGTATACGTATATATCGTATATAAATATATATTATATATATATAGTATATATAGTATATATAGTATATATAGTTGTATATATAGTATATCTCTTATAGTATATAGAGAGATATAGATAAACAGTTATAACAATTATATAGTATATATAGTATATATAGTATATAAATATCTTCTATATATGATAGATAAATATATATTATATTCATATAATATATATATTTTATATAATAATATATATATATATATATTATTTTATTATAGTATAGGTATATATATTCTTATATTACAGTTATAGCATGTACATGTGTATATATATAGTATCTAAAATGTAAATAGGTGTATATATCTATGTACTACATATTAGTATATTTATTTATTTATTGTATATATCAGTAGATGTATATATATTATACAAAAAACTAGTATTATAGTATATGTAGTATGTATTACTATATGTAATTTTATGCAAAAAAATATATAATATACATTACATAATATATATTATATATTCACCTATAATATATATATATATATATTTATTACTATATGACCGTATAGACTATATTGTTATTCTATACTATTATAGATATAATACAAGTATTATAGTATATACAATACATACAGTGTATATAGTTACATATAGTAGATATTAGTCAGATATAGGATATAGTATATGGATATAGTATTAATAGAATATAATATATATATAGATAATTTATGTAGCCATATAAATATATATAAATTAGTGTGTATATATGTTATAAAGTAGTTTATGTAAATATATCTATATACACATATTACACATATTAGATAATATATAGTAAAGGAAGTATATATAGTATATATACTATATTAAATATATACAGCACAAAATATCTATATACATATATTCTATATATATATACATGTCGTAATAATATAGTAAACATACTGGCTAGGGTACAGACAAGTATATAATTGTATATATATATATATATATGAGTAGTATATATAGTGTATATATACTATATATAGTATATACAGCACAATATGTACATATATATATATGTATATATATGTCGTAAATATAGCAAACATACTGTCTATGGTACAGACAGTATATAAAGTATATATAGTATATATATAGTATATATAGTATTTATAGTATATATAGTGCATATATATTTATATATATACATATATATATATATATATATATATATATATATTTTATATATATATATATAGTATTTGTATAGGGGCCAACCAAAAAAAAGGCCCAGAAAAAAAAAAAAAAAGAGGTTCCCGCGTCTGTGTGCTGCGAACTCATTGGTCTTTCAGGATTGTATGAAGGTTTTAGGGAAGTTCCACAACGTTTATTGCAGGAGCGCTGAGATGAGCTCCACATGGAAGAACCGGTGCCACCAACAGGTGAAACATGGCGGAAGCCAGGAACCAACCCCGAACGAGCCCTCCACAAACCTAACACCCTGAAACTTAAAAACCCTATCGCCCCTAAACCGTTATTAGACCCTGAAAACTCCAATAATGTAAATGGTTTCAAAACCCTCCTAAGACCCGTCTAAAGCCCTGTCAAAAACCTACAAGACCCTGCAAAGCGCCAAAACCGGAGTGCTCCGGCCTTCGAAATCGTAGACTCGGCAAGCATGAATGCGATGTTTTGCCTCACACAATGGCGTTGCTTTGAAGGTTGATGAAAGCTTTATTGAGGGGCTCTTGAAGGGCTCTACACGCTATAGCCGCTGTAGGGCTTCACGCAAAATGTTAGGGTTTTGCAGCCTGAGCCGTGAAGCTCTCGCGTTTTAGAGTCCCCGATTTGGGGTTTGTTTCTGCGGTGCCCCCGGAGAGTCTCTTCCCGCTTGGCTTGTGGGTCAAATCTAAGACCCCAATGATCGAAAAATGGCTTTGATGGGATATGATAGTCCACTGCAGTTTTGTGAGGTTTGTGTGTAAGGACTATGAGGGGATAGTAGTGCTAATTATTCGCTCCGCCTCATACATTAATTAGCCTTGAGTGGCTTAAGTTGTCGCGTGTTTTGGGTGCCAGGACTTTGCCGGTGCCCCGAAATCTTCAATGCCACCGAACCTTTCGCAAGAACCCAGCCACGATGTCAAACCAAGCCTCACACCAGCACCAAGGGCAAGAAGAGCGGCGCAAGATCCTTTGGCAGCCGCGGCGGCTGCAGCGTGTGACTTGAGGGGAGTTGCCCTCAACTCGAGAGCCAAGCAGCTGTGGCACCGCAACTGCAACGCCCATGGAACTGATATTCCGTTCTCGAAGTTCCCTGTTGCATACCACATCGGCAGCTGTCCACCAATGGATGGTTCTTTGCAAAAGCTCTCGAGAAAACATCCTCCGCCAGCAACATCCCTTGTGTCAATGCTCGGACCTTTCGTTTAGGGTCTCTGGGCTTCCTGAACTGCAAACCCCAAGAACAAACAGGAGCTTGGCAACCTTTCGGCGGGAGCGCTCTTCACTCAACGTGAGGGGGGCATGCACTGGGGTGAGGAGGGGTTCGCATTCTCGGTGACATGCAGGCAGCGGGAGGCACTGACCCAGCTGCCTCTTGTGATGAACCGGCTCCTCCAGAAAACATCGGGTGAAGCCTCCTGCTGGGAAAACTAAGTCTTTTTGACTGGTGTGAAACATGCGGCGAGGGCCGTATGCTAGATACATCTGCTCGAAAAGCCCGACAGAATACGTAGTTCTAGCAAGCCGAACCGAAAGAAGACTAGTGCTTGTGACTCCAGCACGTTCAGAAGACCTCCAGGTGCTATACGTCCTTCATGATTAGAACAGGGTTTTGGGGCGCCTTATATGATAAACATAATAAGGAACCCTCAAAGTAGTACGGGTAATTACTTTGTCAACCCCGCCATATGATATCGAAACCGGAGTAGGGACTCCTTCTCAACTTGTGAAACTTCGCAGCGTCTTCTGCGATCGCTGGAGCACGTCCTGGGCAAGCAGAACCTGCGCTGGCAGGTACCCATCGCCCTACGACTGCATGGACTTGCCGTGTCCACAGGATTCCGGTCTATGGCTTTAAGGTTGATTAAAACACTTTATTGCATAATACGGCAGAATAGAATAGAAGATCATATAACATCATATCAAAGAGTAGAATATGAATATGAACTCGACTTTGAATGTGAGTGTGGGTATGGGTGTACAAATATAGAAAAGTATAAGACAATATCATATGACGAAATAGAAAATGGCCTGTATCAATACAAAAGCCTAGAGTATAGTAGAACATATCATAAACTAATACATTGTTATGCTGCAATATAACAGAATTATGGGAAGGTGGTACAGCATAATACACCACACTATAGTGGAACTGAAGACGCTCTATGACATCGAAATATAATACAATCTGTTGTGGAATACAACAGAATAGAACAATAATATAACTTATTGCGGAATGCAACAGGATAGAACACCATAGACTAGAACAGACTTATTTATCATATTTCATATAACATAATAAGGTCGTACCGGACATATCTTCTCAAACAAGATGCGGTTTGGCACATGCCTATGGGTCTGCTGTTCGACTTTCTGAGCTACAAGTGGAGCATAAAGCATCTGCGGCTCTCAAGCCGAAGCCCAGACCCAAACCCCTAAACCCGCGATAGGCCCTAAACCCCAAATACCGAGCCCTAAACCCGGGCACCAAATGCTGCCGACTGAACTGTTCGGGTAGGAGGCCTTAATACCTATAATAAGGACTTAGTAAGGCCTATTTAAGGAAGTATGGTTCCCTACCCCCCCGGGAGCGCACCTTGCCCTGCTCCTTCCGCTTGCGCCAACGCGCGACACAGGTTTCGAAGGACTCCTCCGGCAGCGAAGCCGACGGGTCCACAGGTGACCATGTTAGGAAACTCCTTCCTTGGGGTAGGGTTTAGCTTTCAGGGTTTCGGGTTTAGGGGTACTAGTACTTCTTTAGAGAGGGGTGCTTCTTCCGTTGGGCTCTACTCGTTGAGGGTTTGGGGGTGCTATCTTAAGGGGGACATTCTTCCAAGTTCCCAACTTTTTGTCATCATGTTACAATTTGGCCCAAACCCCAGTCTAATTGTAAAGGCCCCCTACACTTGGTGGTGAGATCCCAAAAACAAGCCTAAAAGTAGGCGCTTCTTCATCACGCCCCCCCCCTCCCATCGGCATGGAAAAATCCGAATCATCTGCAGTCATCCCGTAGTCCCTGCATCAGGAGACCATACGCAGGGTTTAGGGTTTAGGGTTTAGGGTTTAGGGTTTAGGGTTTAGGATTTACGGTTTCAGGTTGTTTAGGGTCAAACGCCCCCCTTCCTGCAACCTACGATATGCTGACAAGCGTTGTCCCTGTCCCTCCTCCGAAGGCGAGAGGAAACCCTAAACGCCAAGCCTCAACACCAAAGCCCAAACCATGAACCCGCCTCAATCCTAAACCCCCCAGCCCCTAAACCCCTAAACCATGAACCCCTGAACCCTAAACCCCCGAACCCCTAAACCCCTAAACCATGGAACCTCTTAACCCTGGCCTTGAAGATTGCGCCCAGGTCCACGCCCAAAACGTAGAGAGCCTCGGGCCGCAAACAGAAACGTAGCGATACTCGTCGTCGTCGTCGTAGTAGTAGTAGTAGTAGGAGGGGTGGTACTAGTAGTAGTACTGTTGATGATATAAATCCTGCATTACCTGAAGGACCCTAAACTATGGGAATTATGGTATATTCCTTATAATGGGTCATGGAGGATTTATATCATCAACCGTAGTAGTAGTAGTAGTAGTAGTAGTAGTAGTAGTAGTAGTAGTAGTAGTAGTTGTTGTTGTTGTTGTAGTAGTAGTAGAGTGCCAGCAGGGAACTCAATGATCTCACTCTCATGGCAGATCTGTGCTATCCCGCAGAACTCCTCTGCACTACTGAGAATTTCAGGCACAGGAAGCACGAGTTCAGCCAATGCGGGAGCCGGGCGTAGGCGGCGTTCCATCGCTGGCACTCAGAGCTCTGCGCCAGTACCCTTGACACCTCCCAGGTGTAGGCTTGGGGTTTTGGCAGTCGAAAACCAAAACCCTTAAAGCCTGAACCCTAACAGAGTTTCGGGTTTGGGGCTTTCGATTCCGGGCCCAGGGCTTAGAGCCACGAAACACGGTGAAGGCGAGGGAGCTTTAGAAGCTCCGACGGCCTCCTCATTGATCAGCAACCCCCGACAGCAACTCCTAAATCTGGGCCCCTGAAACCCGGAGAGATCCTAAATCAAGCTCTAAATCTTTTGACCCTCCTGCATGAGCCCCAAAGCTCTCTCAAGGCCTACGAGAGAAGCGTCTTCAAAAGCTGCAACGAAAACTCCAAAGCCCCGAAGCAAGCCAGGGGCTGCACTGCTCATGCAGGTCACTGCTCCCCTCTCAACGCGTGCTTCTTTTCGGTAAGCTGGTGGCGAGCTGTATATCTGGAGTCCCGATAACTGCAGCCTCAAACCCACACTTCTGAGCGTTTTCTGAATCCTACAAGCCTTATAAGCCCCCTAAACCCTAAGCCTTAAACCTTAAACCCTAAACCACAAGCTTTTTACCCTCCTCTGAGCCCTCAACCCCCAAACCGCCGACAGGGAAGAGGGAGCCTCTGTGGCGGCTGAGGTCTTTGGCTCGTCACCTGCCAAAGCGGGGAAAGAAGGCGATGCTTATGCAGGGGCTTAGGGTTAAGGTTTCGGGTTTAGGGCTTAGAGCTTGGGGATTTGCTGAGCACCTGAGAGCTTAAGGTTTTCTCTCAATCTGCAGTGGCCAGGCACGTTAGGGTTTAGGGTTTGTGTTGAAAACGCTCCAGCATGTCAGTGATCAGCACTTGTAGTTTGCAGTTGTGGCTAGCTTTCAGGGCCCTTGTATAGCTGCTAGGTACCTGTAGTCTGCAAGTGTTTGTGCGCTGTTATGCTTCGGCTCGTAGGGGAAGGCTACGAAAGGTAAGCCTCTTGAGCCATGTGTACTGTAACCAACAACTTGTAAAGCTGTACAGGTTGTTTGTTGGTTTGTCGGTTCTCTTGTTGCTTCGTTGAGATCGTGAGTCGCCTCTGCGCCCAGCCATAGAAAACATTCTGCGTGAGCTTCGCTGCAGGGTATGGCCACCCAAGGTGCACACCTTCAACAGGTGATGAGCCCAACGCCTGGGCCAGAAGCAACCGGAGCGGTGGCTTCTCCGGCCTCTCTGCCTGGTGTGCGGGGAGGCGGGGCTGCACCGCAGACTACAGTGAATGGTACAACCGCCGGAGTTGGAGTGCCATCGCCCTCTGGGCTTGCGCAGCCTATTGGGGATGGAATCCAGCAAACTATGATGGATGCGTCGTCGGGGCCATCGACTTCCACAGCTGGTCCAGTGCCATCCCCTCAGCTGCCACAAGAAACTGTTGGAACAGCCGGCCGACCGAGAGTTTCAGCAGTCGGTAGGACAGGAGGCGATGGAACACTAGGCCAGGTTGGAGGCTTGGGTACAGCTGGCGTTACGTATGAAGCAGTATCTACCGCGGAGGTCGCTGATGCGAGTGGGGTGCATGGAGATGCAACTGCAGTGACTCAGGGTTTCAGTGTGGCCACCGAAAGTGGAATGGCTAGCGCTCAGATCAATGTTGCCGCAGGCGTCTCAGGGTACAACCCATCTGCAGCGAATCCTGGAAGTAGTGCTGAGGGCTTTGAAACGCCCAGATCAACGGCGTACGGGGCGTCAGCGGTCATGCAGACTGGGGCTCAGGCTTTTGCTAGTCAGTTGCTAGGAAGAGTGCAGTCTCTGTTTGGTGGCGCGGCGAACGTACAGCCACTGCCGCAAGGGTGGGCTCCCAGTCCACTGACTTCTCCTCCAAGGCCGTCGCGACCACTACAGCCCCTCGAGAGAGGAGGCCGCGTCCTGCAAGATGAGTGTCAAGTGCCGATGCCGTTGTTCACTGGTGCCAACGCGCAGCAGCTTGCTGCCATGGAGCAAAGGGCTCCCTTGCTCTACGGGTCTCCAGACAGGCATCCCCACACCGAGTCCTCATCTATTCCGCATGATGCGATTCAGGCAGAAGTGGCGCCACAGCTTGAAGGGTTGAAGCAGCGCTTGCGAAAGGAACAGGAGAAAACCGGTCGTGCTGAGGCTGAAGTCTGGAGGATTCAGTCTCAGCAGGCTGGTGGATATGAGGCGCCGGCGTTGCAGCAGGTGGGTGCTAAGGAGGTTAGTTTTAGTAGGTTTGGTGATAGTGGGCTTGGTTCGCGCACTGCTACAACGTCCGGGGATGCACTGACCCCTGTCCCTTCCTCAACTCCTCCTCCTCCTCCTGCCGCTGAGCCTCAGGGTTTAACTGGTTTGTTGTTAGGGTTGTTAGGTGCCGGTACTCGGTCCTCTAGCTCTGGACACCAGAGTAGCTCGAATGAGGAGGAGCAGGACAAGCTGCAGTTTGCAGCTGGCACTGGCAGGAGATTACAGCCGGGAGCAATCCCAGGCCGTCAAGACTTACTGCAAGCGTTGGCGACTGTGTTTCAGGCTGCGCTTCAGGTCGTGCAGGCAACACAGCACGCTTCGCAGGCTTCAGGTCCTCAAGCTTCTCATCATTCCCTCCAGCTTTCAACCCAGGAGGAGCAGCCATCATCGCAGCCTCAACTCGCACTGCCAAGTGCCCCAACGCAAGACTCAACAACTGTTTCGCCCCAGGTTCTTCAAGGCATTTGTCAGGCAGTTGCTGCGCTGCCAACCAATCAGTTGTTTGATGCATGAGGTCCGCGCTCAAATGATGGTGCAGTTTAGAGGGAGTGCAGCCACCCTAAGGGTAGGCCGTGTGTTGAAGCCTTTTGCTTCAGCCACGCTGTTTTGAAAAGCAGGTAGTGCCGCTCAAGCCAAAGAGAGCATATGTGCACTTGGCCCTGTGTTAATTCAGAGGTACAAGCCCAGGAGGAGCTGTCGTGATGAGCCAACTCCTTGCAGCAGCGAAAGCCGGTCCCCTGTCAGACCTTAACTGGTTTGGGTGACCCGAATTAATAGGTACTCGTAGTCCCGAACCTGTGTGCAGAAGGCCTGTAGCACTCGCTTGTGTGCTGGGGGTAAACCAGCCAGGCCACTCGAAACCCTAATTTGTACCCTACGTGCACTTCTATGTACAGTCTTGGATATCCTCGAGAAAGTTTTGTTTATTACTTATGCAAAACGGCAAACTGGACTGATCACCCAGCTAGCCTCTAGATCAGACTTGTTGGGTGTTTAAGGCGTAATACACCCTTAACCACCCGCAACTTGCGCGTCTGCAGAGACCGCCACCGCACAGGTCTCTAAACACGCTGAGGTGCCAGAAGGTTCGAGGTCAGGCGAAGATGACATGCTGTAAATACGCAGCTTGTGGCGTCGCCCTGACGAGCGAGCCAAGGAGGAGTGTTGAAAACGCTCCAGCATGTCAGTGATCAGCACTTGTAGTTTGCAGTTGTGGCTAGCTTTCAGGGCCCTTGTATAGCTGCTAGGTACCTGTAGTCTGCAAGTGTTTGTGTGCTGTTATGCTTCGGCTCGTAGGGGAAGGCTACGAAAGGTAAGCCTCTTGAGCCATGTGTACTGTAACCAACAACTTGTAAAGCTGTACAGGTCGTTTGTTGGTTTGTCGGTTCTCTTGTTTCTTCGTTGAGATCGTGAGTCGCCTCTGCGCCCAGCCATAGAAAACATTCTGCGTGAGCTTCGCTGCAGGGTATGGCCACCCAGGGTGAACACCTTCAACAGTTTGCCTGAACAATTGGGACAGGGTTCCCTTAAAGGGCTCTAGAATTCACGGTGGACTGAGGCATTTGATCCTTGGTGCAAGTTGAAGTAGAATATATCCCAAAACCCTCTTCCCCACGATCGAGGCACTGCTACATCACTACTGCGATCAGATCACGAAGGCATCGGCTCTGAGGCACTTCCCAGCCCCCCACTCCAGAACCCAGCCTGGCGACAGGAGCGCCTCGTCCCAACCTGACAGGAGCCCACGTTAGCTGTGCTCAGCTGTCCACGAGCACAACGGCTCTCACCGGAAATCCCTCTTAAACCCTAAAGCCTCCGCACCCTCCCTGTTGCCTCACAGCCTGGTGGTGAGGTCCTGAACCCTCGCCGTGCCCTAACCTGCGGTCTACACCAGCAATGGCTGCTCCCAGTGGCCTAGTGCCAGATCCTTCCCAGACTCCTGCAAAGGGGCGGTTTAGGGTTTGGGGCACAAGGGTAGATCTTAGGGCACCACAAGCGGTACCATAAGGTTTCTATAAGGGTCTCTCTCTAAGGTTGACGGTTTCGCACCCAGAATCCACCAACACTGAACCAAAAGCCCTATACGATGTCATAGCTACACGCGGACAGAGGATATCATTGGTAGTTGTCCCGGCCCCTGTGTCACCCCTTCTTTAACGAAGAAAGGCCCAGGATATACGGCTTCAACTTTTCATGATCATTTCACACAAAACTCTTCGAGAACATCCGCATAGCACCCCTTACAGAAACCACCTTCAAGAGAGCTCGGGAGAATCGTTTCAGAAAAGTCCTCGCTCTGCCTTTATGGAGTATCGGAGTCGCGGGGGGGCCCTTCTCCGAGAGCCTCAAACTGCCTCAGAAACCGCTCCTCGAGGGTGGCCGGCGCTGACTTCGCCTCAAACTCTCGCGGATCATGGGGTTTCTTAGGGTTCAGGGTTCTCTTGCGGTTGCTGTAAGGACTCTCTGGGGGGCTCCGAGGGTTTAGGGCCTTGGTGTTCGCCAGCCCCGGCAAGGAAGGACAAAAGCACTCGGCGGGGAGATTTGCCGCCGATCGATGCCTACGTCCTCAACGGCTTCAAAGAAACCCGTAAACTCGAAACGCCCAAACCCCCACCCCAAGAGTCCACCCAAAAACATGCAAACTCCTAACAACCCTAAACCCACGCAAACACGCTCAAAAATCAATCTACAAATCCCAGAACAACCCCTTGAAACACCCTGCAGAAGTCCTCAGCCGTCCGGCCTTGGGATCAGGTGGCAGCGTGAGGTTCAACTCCAGCAAGGCCCCTCGGCGCTTGGCTCAAAAACTGGGCCCTTAAGAAATAGAATAAGGTTTCGTTCAAAGGATCTTTCAAAGGGTCACTGTAAAAGGTGTACTAAGGGTCACTATATGGCGGGCCGGCTTCCACAAATGTGACCCCTTTTATACATGTGAGTCGATGTTTTTCCGGGTAGGCCCCGTAAGGAGTAGCTCAGGAGGGGAGAATGAAAAATTGGTTCCCCGGACATGCGAATCAATAAGGAAAGGTACTGGTGCCGTCGCAGTAATTGCAATCATAATTTTTCTGAGTATGTAATTCTGTTTAGTGAAAAATGAATTGATGATGGCTACAGGGGTTAGTGTAAGGCCAATTGTCATAGGGTTTTAACATAGTCTAAGTGTCAGAAGGAACCAGAAGGAAGGACATTGGTAATTAGTTTTGGCATTAGCTTAAGGGCTTAGGGCTTATGGTTTTGAAGCGTTTACTGCAGCCCCCAACTTTGGAGGGTTCCTCCATGGCTCGTAATGTTTAGGGTCACTTCAGAAGCGCCGCTTGGAGGGTCGGAGAAGTTTGATCACGGCGTTGGGGTTCTCTTGTTACTGTTGTGGGTGGTTGAGGAAATCTGGATCTCTTTCACTACTACTCCCAAAACCCTAAACCCCAGACCCGAATATTTGGACCACTTTCACTACTCTCTGCTACTGCTCTTAGTCTTACGACCTGCTGTGCTTGCAGTACCTCCTGATTGGAGCCGTCCACTTCCTCTTAAGGGCTCCTTCTTGAGGAATCCTTCTGCAGCGCTCCTTTTTGACAAAAATCCTTCTTCAGAGCGTCTTCTTTCAGGGTTTAGGGTTTAAGGCTTGGGGCAAAATTTAGGGTTTAGGGTTTAAGGCTTAGGGTTTAGGATTCGATTTGGGGTTTAGGGTTTGTTGCCCCTGTACAGCGCCAGCGTCGGGGGCCGAAAGGCTCTCCTCCGCCGAGGCCCTGGCCGATGTAGTTCGAGACCAGCTGCTCCTTCCAAGGTCTTCTGGCTTGGGGCCGTACCGAAAAAGGGTATGCATGATAAATCTTGTATGCATATGTGTATATATATATATATACATATACATATATATATATATGTACATATACAGGCATTCATACGTACGTACATACGTAAATACGTACATATGTACATATGTACATATACACATGCACACAAACACCTTGTACGACGAAGGCGTTCTTATAGGCTTTCGGTATGTGGGGCCTTGCCAATTAGAACATTGCAAGGGGTATCCTGTAGTAGAAGTATTATGTAAGGATGGTGCAGGAAGAGTAGGACAGATTGTTCAGACGTCTACATCACCGTGCGGGCCTGCAGGGCTTTTGGGCTTCAGGGCTTTTAGGGCTTTTAGGGTTTGGGGGTTTATGCTTTCGGGTTTGGGGCCTCAGTTCTTGGTGTTTGGAGCTTTGGGGTTTTGATACTTGAGGATCTTAGCAGAGACTGCAGCGGGATCCACAACTTCCTTGAATTGCACCTCGTCTGAATTCGGTGTACATTATCCACTGAAGTCCTGCACAAACTGAACTCTCTGCCCCATGCGCCCGAAACCCTTAAGACTTAAGACCCAGAACTTCGGCTGAGGCTGCTTAGGATGGCCATCCGAAAACCGAATGACAAAATGTCAGTGTCTCCTCCTCCTCTCTGCTGATCCGCAGCCCCAGTGGGAGGCCTGAAATGTGTTGAGTTGTCTCAAGGAAGCAGCAGTAAAGCTACAGTTCTAGCTGTAGTGGCCGTGGCAGTAGTAGTAGCAGGAGTGTAGTAGTAGTAGTAGTAGTAGTAGTAGTAGTAGTAGTAGTAGTAGTTGTTGTTGTTGTTGTAGGAGGAGGAGGAGGAGGAGGAGCAGCAGCAACAGCATTAGCAGCAATAGCTATGGGAGTAGTGGGCACGGATTAACCGTGTGCGGTTTTGGTACTAGTACCAGCACTAACAGTACCTCGCAGTCTGTGTTATCTCTGCTAGCTGAAACTGCTCTGGTCATTCGGTCTTGTTCTAGCTTCTCGGTTTTATTCGCACACCGCAGAAAAACATTCGAACATCGGGCAAGCCCATCGCCACTGAAATCTGGCAGACCGTTTTGGCTCCGGCTTGAAAGATTTCAGGCTTAACGATTCCGGGGTGCAGGTTATCAGGCTTTGAGGCTTTAGGGCTCGGGCTTTTGGGGGCTGTAGAGTCTTCGGCTTCTTGAAACGCATGCGCAAACCGAGCAGGACCCCGGCGCGGTTGCGTCTTGGGCACTGGGAGAGCGTGGATGGCGCGCGCCTGGTGCGGCAGAGAAGGAAAGCTAAACCCTCAACCGATGAGAAGACTGAATCCTAAAGCCGAAAGCCAAAACCCTGAACCGAGAAGGACTGTTTCCTTGGCGAAGCTCCCAGAAGTATTGTAGTATACATATGGAGCCCCGAAGAATAAGTCGTACGGAACCCAAAAATAAAATGCCTGAGGAACCCTATAAGCACTAGCATATATGAACAGCAGCTGTCAAATGAGGCTCGCGCTGCGTCATCGAGCAGCTGGAAAGGGCTGGAAGCCATCTCCGCCTCAAGAGGAGGCCCTGAACCCTGAACCTCAAAGCCCAGAGCTCTTAAACCCTAAAAACCTAAACACCAACCCTAGACCCCAAAACCTTAGCCCCAACCCTGAACCCCAAAACCTTAACCCCTGTAAACCCTCCCTCAAACGTCAAGGGCCTGAACAGAGGGAGCACTCGGAGACTTTCAAGGGGGCCTTCGAGCCCGTGTAGTGTCTTTATCGTACCCTTATAGTGTCCTTTTAGAACCCTTGTAGTACTCTTATATCACCCTTACTGCAAACAGTTGCAAGACTCTGCACCCTTATAGGAATCCTTGCAACAGGAACTTTGTAGCACCCTCATAGCACCGGCATAGGAATCTTTGCTGTACCCTTGTAGCACCCTTATGGTAGCCATACAGGAATCCTGAAAGGAACCCTTAAAGAATCCCAAAAAGGAACCCTTGTAGTATCCTTACGTGGAGACTCGCAAGAAGCCCTTTTCTTCACGTGCCGCGACGCAGATCGAAGTTTTTCGAATTAGGGCGGCTGGGGCTTGGGAACCTGGTTCCTTTAAAGGCTCCTTTGAGGGATTCTTTAAAAATTCTAGTTTAAGGGATTCCTTAAGGGTTCCTTTGAGGGTTTGGGCTACGATAAGGGCTCCTTCAAGGGATATCTATAAGGATTCCTATCAGGATAACTGGAAAATAAGACAAGAGGTCCAAAGAGGTGCTATGAGGATACTCTAGGGGCTCCCATAAGGATACCACAAGGATACTGGAGAACTTCCCGGCTTTTTTTGGTTTTTGGTGCTTTCAGAGTCTGGGGTTCACGGTTTCCTTTCATCGCCTAAGGTTTAGGCTTTAAGCGACAAGAAGAGAGAAGCATCTCTTCACCCTAAATCCTAAACCCTGAACCCTAAACCCTAAACCCTAAAACCCTAAACCCCTACACCCCTACACCCTAAACCCCTAAACCCCTAAACCCTAAACCCCTGAACCCTAAACCCCTACACCCTAAACCCCTCAACCCCTAAACCTAAAACCCTAAACCCTAAAACCCCTAAGCCTTGGATGTTCCCCAAGCCTCCGAAAAGCTCAAGAGCCCCGGAGCGGCCCAGGGTCTTGAGACGCCCCTCTTCAGAGGTCGAGCGCTCGTGAAGGCCTCCCTGAAAAGGGTTCTTTGTTGGGTTTAGGGTTTAGGGTTTAGGGTTTTGGGTTTAGGGTTTAGGGTTTAGGGGTTTAGGGGTTTAGGGTTTAGCGTTGTTAAGGGATTTTTTGGTTTGAAATACTATGATGGGGATCTATAATTTTCGAAGATTCAAGTTAAGGGATTTGGTTTGAATTACCATGATGGGGATCTATAATTTTAAAGGGGTTTGATTTGAACTACCATGATGGGGATCTATACTATATAATTTTGAAGATTCTAGAACCCAGAAAAGGGAGCCGAAGTTAGCGAAACTTGGAGGAGCCGCGTGTCTTCAAAAGATGGCCGGGGGCAACCTGACAGAGCGTCTTGGACATGTGGTGACAAAGTCAGAGGAGCTGGACAATTTCAGCTGGTTGCAGAGCTTGAGAGATTACTCATGGCCCGGCAGAACCGGGATGAGTCTCAGCAAGCATGCTTTCAACACCAGCCAGGAACGCGGCTCTTCCTGCTTGCCAAATGGATTATGGATTGAAGGGGTTCATCTGTGCATCCCCTTGGAAAGCGGGCTCTACCTAAATCCCCAGGCCCTGAACCCTAAACCCTAAACCCCTTGTAAACCCTAGGCCCGCAAGCGAAAGTTTGCTTCAGAAAAAGATGAGATGCGGCGCATGGCACCCGCGAGGTCGAAACTCTCACGACCGTGCTACCCTCTCGTCATCCTCGTGTCCTGCAACGCGAACACGGGTTGTCGGAAGTAGAACAGGGTGTCACAGAAGCAGTTTGTAGGGTGTGGGGATGCCGTCAACATTCCAATGGACTCAAACAGCAAATTTGGATCCTCCTGACAGCAAGCGGCCGAGAACCATTGTAGACACGCCAGCCGGCGGATCTGCAGCCTTTATCAGAACCCTTACGGTCCCCTTTGACCGTATCACCCTAGAGTACCCCAGTATGTACACCCGCTTTGTATCCCTCATAGTACCCACTGATCTGCGAAAGAACGCATCCTTGAGCGGCACACTGACAGTCCCAAAGTCTGGTAATATAGGGGCCTTAATCATTACCTACACTATTTTGGGGCTGCTTAGTATAGTTATAGTATAAGGGGCCCCAAAACCCTAATAAAATGCCTAGGGCCTTAATCATTACCTATACCATTTTTTCGATTTCTGTTAAGCTCTCCGGCCGCTTCCTGACCGCCCTTCGCCGGAACCGACCCCTGGAAAATCCTTAAAGAAACCCGTAGAGTACCCCTCAATCCTAGACATCCTTGAAGAAACCCGTATAGTACCCTCAAAGAGACCCTTAACCCTCAATCCTAGACCCTGAACCTCAACCCCCCAACCCCGCAGCACCCTGAAAAGGGACCCCGCAGGTCCTGCATGCTGGCTGAGCTGTGCCTCCTGAAGAAGGGGCTTTCGGCTGCTTGGGCTCAAGAGGCTTCCACCGCCAAAAAAAAAAACATTTTGGGTTTACGTAGGGTTTTTGGTTCAGGGTTTTGGGTTTAGGGTTTGGGTTTGGGGTTTAGGGTTTGGGGTTTAGGCTTTGGGGTTTAGCGGTTTGGGGTTTAGCGGTTTGGGGTTTGGGGTTTGGGTGGGATTTAGGGTTTAGGGTTTGGGGTTTAGGGTTTACGAGTTTTGGCCTAATCTTAACAGTATTCATTGTTTCGGAGGGTCAGGGTATACGATGAGGACCAAAGCAATATCACAACTACATCTTCCGACTCCTACAGTACGAAATGAGAGCTTGAAGAAGTTCGGGAGAAAACGGAGAAGTTCGCGATGGAGCCTCGAATTGCTTTCGGGTGTTAAGGTTGAAGGTGTGGCGGCTTTACGGGTCAGGGTTTCAGGGTTTGGGATCTCGAGTCTAGGAATTGAGGTGTCGGAGGGAAACGGATCATTGCAAAATGCTATCATTCTGGCTGCAGAAGAAATCATGGTGAAGGTAGACGTGCTCAGAAGCGAACAACCCTTCTTCTCAATCAATCTGGGCTTAGAATGACAGTAACAGGTCGTCATAGTTGTCGTCGTCTTCGCATGGTCGCGGTCGCCGCCTAGGATTACGAGTAAGAGCAGAAGGAGGAGTAGGGGTAGATGTAGTACACCATCGGTCAAAGGAGAACAATGCTGAGAACAAGACTGAAAAATTCAATCCCCAAAGATCCGAACCTCTTCAAACCAAAGCTGCCTTGACTATTCCTTCGAATCCCGTACACCCTAAACCCATAGATTCGCCTCGGCCCCGGCCGAAGCGGTCTGCCCACCATCCACCACCACACCAGTCCACTCCCCCCCTTTCTGTCTGCCCTCCCCCCCTACCCCCTCTCCCCCCCTACTCCCCCCCCCCCTATACCCTTCTTTTGGGTCTACTCCAGGTTCTAGGGTTAGGGATTTGAGTTAAGGCCAAAGATACTGCAAGTTACAAAGTACCGCACTTCTTTCTATGCAGAACACTTGCACAAAAGCAAACCCCTGTACACTTTGAGTGCTGGGTTTTGGCGCCTGCAAGATCTCAGCAAGGCAACTTTTCACGGGGTAGTGACGCAGGCTCCGGATGCTTACCTTAGACAAACACTTCCAACCAACTCGGCATATACGCGTGCAGCCAGGCCGAGGAAGGCGACGCGAAGCGTTTAATATAAAGATTCAATAAACCCTTGACCCTAAAGCCCAAATCCCTGAACCTGTTTAACTCAACATAACACTACTTCTAGCAATATAATCACAATAATCATAACAACAACACCAATCATGCTAAGAAGATTTTCAGAAATGCATAATACCAATATTCATAACAGCAATAACAATACGAATAATAAATTCAATGAACCCCTATAGATCCCTTCAAGGACCCATAAAGGAACCCCTTAAAAGGAACCCTTCAAAGTAACAGGTAGAGAAACCCCAATAAGGAACTCATTGAAGGGACCCCTATAAGTCCCTTAAAGAGAGCCATATAGATCCCATAATCATCGCTTTTTTGAAAGTCCGAAACGGAACGCCTCCGAGATCGCCTCAGCGAGCCGATGACGCCTCCGATTTCGGACTGAATCGGAGCTTAGGCTGTTTGGTGTTTTGGGGTTTAGGGGTTCAGGGGTTTAAAGGTTTAGGGGTTCAGGGTTTAGCGGTTTAGGGTTTAGGGGTTTAGGGTTCAGGGGCTGGGGGTGTTTAGTGTGTAGGGTTGAGGGTTGAGGGCTTAAAATATTTTTTGAGCTCCTTTTCTGCGGACGCTTCAAGGTCTCCCAGAGTTTGGGGTTTAGGGTTTAGGGTTGAGGGCTTTGGGTGTAAGGCTTAGGATTTAAGATTTAGGGCTCAGGACTTAACGGTTTTGGGCTTGGCGCTTATGTGGCCTTTTGGTCTTGTCAGTATGATTGTTGGCAATACTCATATATCCACTACGGGATTGCGACTCTTACGCATTTCTTCTGATTTTACATTTGTTGCTATGCGCATTGTGATGATTAGTACGGCTCCTAACATCGTTATCAAAGGGGAGCGGCTTTTTCGGGCTGCTGGAGCTTCCAACCTTAGCTTATAGTATCCTTATGGGAAGGGGCGCTCCACGGGGGATAGATAACCTACTAATCCCGAGTGCTCTAGTGCTTCCTAAGGTTCCCTTGAACTTCTCTAACCCTCCTACCCTCCCCTCTTGAACCACCCTCCCTGCGCCCTCTGCCTCCGCGAGTAGTCGGGTGGACGGCACCGGTGAGGACTGGGACAGCGGGACACGCGGCCTTGGCTTTCTGGGGCCTCTTGCACTCGGCTTAATGTAGGGGCCTTAACAAGTAGTGACAAGTAGAATAGGGCTGCTTTTTAGGGGACTATAAGGGTTACCACAGCTGGCTACTATAAGGATTTAGTACAAGGGCCTCAAGAAT